AGAAGTGTCCGGTCAAGAAGAAGTTCCTGTTTTTACTTTACAGACCCTTCCTACTGATCTAAGGATTTTGCGGGAACAGCAAGCCGCAATTACCCCTGAAGAGATCCAGAAATGGAAGAAGAAAGGGGCTGTCTTAAAGGACGGAATATACTATAACAATTTCAAATTCTGCCTTCCAAAAAACTTATACCCAGCAGTTGTCCAATGGGCACACGGACCAGCACATCTGTCAAAAGATTTAATGGCCGCCCTCATCCAGAAGTATTATGAAGCCCCTGGAATAACAACATTGATCACTAACTTCTGCAGGGTTTGTGCCATTTGCGCAAAATGCAATCCAGGGAAGCCAATCAAAGTGCCTACAAAACATCTGGCTAAGCCCATGTACCCATTCCAGAGAATTCAAATTGATCATATACAAATACCCAAGAGCGGGCCCCATGAATATGCACTAGTGATAGTGGACATGTTCTCAGGCTGGCCAGAAGCCTACCCAGTAGCCAATATCACTGCCAAAACAACAGCAAAACGTCTACTTACAGATGTTGTATGTAGGTTTGGACTTCCAGAAGTTATTGAAAGTGACCAGGGCCCAGCCTTTACAGCAACAGTAACTAAAGAGATTTGGACTGCTCTGGGGGTGACCCTAGCCTTTCACACCCCTTACCACCCACAAAGTAGTGGGAAAGTGGAACGCATGAAGGCACCTTAAAAGCCAGAATGCTTAAAATGTCACAAGAAACAAAGATGCCCTGGCCAGAAAGTCTACCAATAGCTCTATTTAGTGTTAGGCACACACCTGGAGGGAAGCATTCACTATCCCCATACGAGATTCTATTTGGGACCGCACCCAGACTAGGTTGTTATTATCCACAACAGTTACAGCTTCAATCTGATGTTTTAGTAGACTATGTAATTGAACTTGCAAGTGCCTTGAACAAAATACATGCCCAAGTTTTCTCTTCAATTCCAGATCCCGATTTGGATACAGGTACCCATAGCCTGCTTCCTGGAGATTGGGTTCTGGTCAAGAAGTTTGTGCGGAAACATACCTTGGAACCAAGATTTGACGGGCCATTCCAAGTTCTCCTAATCACCGCAACCTCCGTCAAATTGGCCGGCCGGCCACATTGGATCCACGCTTCCCATTGTAAGAAAGTACTTGCCCCAGAGGAAGCTAGTACCGCACCACCATGTACCTCTGGTACAGTATCTTCTTAATCAGCTTAATTAAAGCTCAACAAGTAGCCATCACTAAAGATGCTAGTGGGTACACCTTCTGGTATAATTCATCATGTACCCGTGTGGCTACTTATACTTTTGACTACTGTGACATCGTAGAATGCCCATTCCCCACGTCACAGATTCAGAATATCTATAGAGATATCCCTCATTCAAAAGACCCCTATGTTTGTGTAGTTGACAAACAATGGGGGCACAACTGTAACCATTGGGGGGCGGCGGGATGGAATGCCGGGCCTGCCTGGGGTTACAAACCAAAAAGTGCCTTATCTAAAATTGATGATCACGGTAGGTCCCTCCTCCAGAGAATGACTCTAAGAAAGCCCGGAGGAGGCATACCTATGAAATTAATCTTAAACATTGAGCATCCCAGCCCAACGGATGCAGACCAGTATGTAATGGGAATGTACTGGAAGAAGGGTTCCTATAATAAATTAGGACATTTCCACCTTAAAGATATGTGCCACTCTCCTGAGTGGAAAGGGACCACCCACATGGTCTCAAATCCGTTGAAACCACACATCCAATCTTTTAAAGACATGATGGCCATTGCAAATCCAACATTTGAAGATACCATGGCCGCTGAAACAGGTTTCAATGATGTTAATCTATGGTTAGAATGGATGAAAAATAATGCCAACAAACATAACAGAACCGCATGCTATGTGTGTGGTGGTGCCCGGCCGCACCTGGGCACTGTGCCTTTAACTTTGCCAGTAGATATAGAAGAATGTGTTCTGAGTCTTTTTGCCTATCACTACAATTTCAATAGGTCCATATGTAAAGCATGGACAGTAGAGTATCCTCTTCTAGTCAAAGATTGCAAACCCCCAGATGGTGTTACCGTCTATAAAGGTAATTATACCTGTTATGCTAATTATGATGGAATTGGTAAATTTGTGGGTAACTTCTCTAAAGGTTATTGTGCCACCTACAGAACTGTCTCTATGAACCTCCTACAATTCCACACTAGATCATTGGGGGATATTTACTGGTTGTGTGGGGATCTACAGCTGAGATCAAGAATGGATAAAGAATGGTGGGGGGAGTGTACTCTGGCTAAAGCAATCATGCCCATACATATTATCTCTGACACACACCCCGATACTCATGAGTCCAAACACTCACCAACCAAGGTAAAGCGTGAAGCCCCAGTAAAAGGCAGTTTTGACCCTCATATTTACATTGATGCCATTGGGGTACCTAGGGGGGTGCCCAATGAGTTTAAAGCCAGGGATGAAGTTGCTGCAGGATTTGAATCACTTTTTACCATAGTCACTGCAAACAAGAATTTAAATTGGATAAATTACATCTACTACAACCAACAACGGTTTGTTAATTACACCAGGGATGCCCTTCAGGGTTTGGCCGAACAGCTGCAGGCTACGTCCCAAATGTCATTCAAAGGAGGGGTATGTAAAATTCTGCCTGACACCATGACATGTTGTACTTACATCCCAGAAAACACAGGCCCCAATGGTAAAGTAACCTTAGCTATAGAAAAATTGAAAGAGCTCTCTGAGGAGCTAAAGAGGAACTCTGGGATAAAAGATCCCTGGGAGAGATGGTTTGGTTGGATGACAGGATGGCAAAAAGCTTTGATGCATATTGGTATAGCAATACTAATTTTCCTTTTTATCTTTGCTCTTTTCGTTTGTTGTGTCCTCCCTTGTGTGAGAAAGCTCCTCTTGAAGACTGTAGACCAAGCGGCACCCACTTTCGCACACCTCACAGTTGATGACCAAGATTTCCAAAAAGTCAACTCGCCCTGTATACCGCTACAATCTATCCCGTTTATTGATAGAGTGCAAGAGTTCTAGGAAGGGACCAGCTTAGGGACAGCATCTGTCTGTCTGGGAAGTCTACCGTGCGGAGATGTGGTGGGTTAGCCACCTCGGGATACCCATGGAGTGAAGTGTTCGAGTGCCCAGCGGACAGATGAGTTAGCCAATTAGGGACAGACGAAGGGACAGCTTTGCACTTTGCAATAACACCTAGCTAGCGGGTCACGGGGTTTCTGTGCCTTTGGGCTAACACGTCTTCTGATACTAACAAATAAAGATTATCTTTTAGAATCTAACATTTCATAGGGGGGACTGATGTAGAATTATTAAAATCTTTATTAGAACCTGTATTGAATTATTGTACTAACTCCATTTTGTTCACCTTACATGACAGAATTTCCTGACAGTATTCAGTATAATGAATAAGAGATTGTATTTTCTCTCTCTAAGGACATAACTAGCCCCGGAGTTAGCGGATCTCCGTTGACTTGCAACATAGTATAATCCAAGGCCAGGAGAACAGCGACAAAATGAAATGTTCTATTCATAAAAGAACCTTGGAACAGACCACGAGACTGACATCACTAACTACGTAAAATGACGCCCAAGCCCCCCTTTCCACCGAGTAAGCCTCGTGCTAAAGAGCAATGGCGACGACATCCCATGATGGGAGGGTGCCTCACTAGTCACTCAAATCTCTGAGCCAATTAATAATATTAATGGGTGGACACTGACATAGCCACTTAACATTTAACCCAATTAATGATGTTTATTTGTTATTATCTGATATTCAATGATGATGTCATTTTGCATATAAAAAGGCCTGCGTGCCCGCTTTTTAACTAGATGCTAATAAATTTCCTGAAGTGTTTTTAACCTGAACTGCATGTGTCAGTGTAAACTTACTTCTGCGTATACGCAATTTATTCATCTCAGATTTGGACAGGAACAGATAGACTTTTAAACATTTTTGTTTATTTCTAAATTAATCTACATCATTGTTTTTTGGGGGGAATTGTCCCTTTAAATTTTAAATCAGACCCCAGAATGCCTATAATAAAGCTGCTTTATTTTGACTTGGTTAGTGACTGGGAATACAGGAAGCTATTTATAATGAATGATTCTTCGACAAACATAAAATTGGGACATTCATCAGGAAAATTCCACTGGATTGCATTGAATTCAGAAAATTCTTGTGAATTCACATAAAGTTTTTATTGACATGTGTGATTAAATAAAATGTGTGATTAAATAAAAATAATCAACTTCAGTTACATTTAAAATTCAACCCATTGTCCTATCCTTTTACCGGACAATTAATTTGTTTACTATTGCAATTGCTGGATGGACTGGGAAGAAATAAAGTCGCGGGGTGTGAAGTTAATACATTAATCAAGTGGGATTATAAACATCACGCCTACATATCCTAACATTGCATAAGATTTAATTTTAAAATTTAATTCAAAATAGAAGGATGCATCATGAATGTAACTTTGAATTTCCATTCTGTGATATGTTGAAATAGAAATGGCAAATTATTAGGATTTAAAGTCTAGCGGTGAGTGAATCTATAGGGTAAAATTATCAATATATGTATTACAATAATATTAAAAAAATTTAAATAGACTTCAAAATAATATTAAATCATTTTTAACGTTTATGCAAAGATATTAAAACATTTAAAAAAGTTATTCCAAAAATATAAAATATAAAATTGGCAATACACCAGTTTTAATTCTTCTTGGCATTTTTTTTTAAACGTAGTACGATTTTAAGCCACTCTGACGTGCTTTCTCATTGAAAAAAGAATGCTGTATATTTAATATCAAAGGAATTTAGTTAAAAAGTTGAACACAGTTATAAGAGTGTAACATATTTAGCCGTACTCCCTTCAGTGGGAGACATAAAGAGGAGGTTCTGACATACTAAGGGACATGCCAAGAGCAATTCTGGAAAAAATATTACCTAAAAGTAGGGCATTCACCATGGAAACAGTGGAATGTTGATGATAACAGCTCTATGTTATTCATAAACTCCCATTGTAACCTTTGAGACAGTAGAAGGGAGTTTGCGTGATGCCATTTACAAAATGGGACCAAATACTGCTGATGCCTATTTAAATGACGCACGATAAAGTCTTTCTCGTTTTATAAAAAGGATAGTTTCTATGTAACAATTTTCCTGGCATACCATTTATATGACATCAGTAATACCAGAAACTAAAAACGGACTATCTTTACAGAGATCTACTTTCTGTCTCTCCACATTCTAAACAGTTGTTATATTTGCATACAATTCTACCAAACAGTTTGACACGCAATTTTAAAAAACAGGGCTTTGAAAAGTCACATAGAGCATTTAACCCCATGACTATCAAAACATTTTAAGAATATTAGCATAATATTTATTTGAAACATGGGATCCATAACTATATATGTGGCATAAAACAGTAATTTTGTTGGTAAATGTTTACAGCAGGGATGTCCAACCCACAGGCCGTATGCGGTCTAGGACAGCTAGCAATGTGGCCCAGTTTCAGTCAGGATGGAGAGAGACTGGACTGGCCCACCCAGGCAGACAGCTTGAAAAAAAATAAAAAAAATGCCATTTAAATAATTTTCCCCTCGAACTGTGACAGCCTGTGTCAGTCCGAGGGAATTAATGAATGGGGTGCTGGGGGCTGCTGCAGCCGCGTTTAGGGTTCTGGCGGCCGGAGGGAGCACTGCGCGGCTCCTTTCACCATTCTCGGCAATGCCGTGTCCATGCTCTACCCCCGCATGCAAGCTCTGCCTTTGGCACATAAGCCAGGCCCCTGAAGCAAGCTCCACCCCCATACTCAAGCATGAAGAGGTCAAGAAATTGCTCCCACAGTCTTCAGTGCTAGGTAAGTTTCAGCTAATTTGTCAGTGACTTTGTGTGTATGTGACTGTTAGTGAGTGAGCTTGTATATTTGTGTGTCAGTGAGCTTGTCTGTAATGGGCATGTGTGTGTGGGTCAGTGAGCTTGTCTGTCAGTGCACTGGTCTGTCATGAATGTGTGTGTGTAAGTGAGCTTGTCTGTAGTGAACATGTGTGTGTCAGTGAGCTTGGCTGTCAGTGCACTTGTCTGTAGTGAACATGTGTGTGTGTTAGTGAGCTTGTATGTAGTGAGCATGTGTGTGTGTCAGTGAGCTTGTATAGAAACATAGAAACATAAAATGTGACGGCAGATAAAAACTATTCGGCCCATCTAGTCTGCCCAATTTTTAAAAATACTTTCATTGGTCCCTGGCCGTATCTTATAGTTAGGATAGCCTTATCCATATCCCACGCATGCTTAAACTCCTTTACTGTGTTAACCTCTACCACTTCAGCTGGAAGGCTATTCCATGCATCCATTACCCTCTCAGTAAAGTAATACTTCTGGATATTATTTTTAAACCTTTGCCCCTCTAATTTAAGACTATGTCCTCTTGTTGTGATAGTTTTTCTTCTTTTAAATATAGTCTCCTCCTTTACTGTGTTGATTCCCTTTATATATTTAAATGTTTTTGTCACATCCCCCCCTGTCTCGTCTTTCCTCCAAGCTATACATGTTAAGATCCTTTAACCTTTCCTGGTACGTTTTATCCCGCAATCCATGAACCAGTTTAGTAGCCCTTCTCTTAACTCTCTCTAAAGTATCAATATCCTTCTGGAGATACGGTCTCCAGTACTGCGTACAATACTCCAAGTGAGGTCTCACCAGTGTTCTGTACAATGGCATGAGCACTTCCCTCTTTCAACTGCTAATACCTCTCCCTATACAACCAAGCATTCTGCTAGCATTTCCTGCTGCTCTATTACATCGTCTGCCTACCTTTATGTCATCTGAAATAATTACCCCTAAATCCCTTTCCTTAGATGTTGAGGCTAGGACTCTATTAAATATTCTGTACTCTGCATTATTTTGCACTTATCCACGTTAAATGTCAGTTGCCATTACTCTGACCATCTTTCTAGTTTACCTAAATCATTACTGACAAGCCTAATACAATTTTCTGCTGCCTTCAGCAGTGCAATTTTTAAATAATCCAATTTCTCTTGGGCTCCATTTACATTGCTCCAGTCTGATAATGACTCCTTTACACATATTCTAATTTTAGAAAAGCATGTTTTTCTAAAGTCAAAAATCTTTTGTTTTTTGTGTGGTGTGACATATTAAACCACACTGACTGATGATCACTGGATCCTAAACTTTCACCTACAGTAATATCTGATACCAACATCCATTTGTTAACACTAAATCTAGTATAGCCTCTTTATGAGTTGGTTCCTCAATGACTTGTTTTAGAGACAATCCCAGTAGAGAGTTTAGAATATGTGTGCTCCTGGCACAAGCAGCAGCTGTTTTGGTTTTCCAGTTAACATCAGGAATATTAAAGTCACTCTTGATGATAACTTCCCTCTTCATTGTCATTTTAGCTATTTCCTTAACTAGTAGATTATCTAACTCTATTTGTCCTGGTGGCCTTTAAATCACACCTACATGAGTTACTGTGTGATTACCAAATTCTAACGTAACCCAAACGGACTCTATGTCCGCCTCACTAACTTTTATTAGGCTAGATTTTATGCTATCCACCTATAGGGCCACATGTGTGTGTCAGTGAGCTTGTCTGTCAGTGTACTGGTCTGTCGTGAACAAATGTGTGTGTGTGTGTGTGTGTGTAAATGAGCTTGTCTGTAGTGAACATGTGTGTGTGTGTCAGTGAGCTTGTCTGTCAGTGCACTTGTCTGTAGTGAACATGTGTGTGTGTTAGTGAGCTTGTATGTAGTGAGCATGTGTGTCAGTGAGCTTGTCTGTTGTGAGTTTGTGTATATGTGTGTGCATGTGTAGCACACACACACACACACAAGCTCACTACAGACAAGCTCTGCATATATATATACACATACACACACACACACACACACACACAAATACACACACACACACATGACACAGTGATGGATGTAATTTTTGTGTATGATTTGTCAGTGATTGTGTGTGTGTGTGTGTGTGGTGGGGGTCTGTGTGTATGTCTGTGTTTGTGTAAGTCAGTGATTATGTGTGTATATCTCTGATTTGTGTTTGTAGGTATGTGATTGTGTGCATAGGTCTGTGACTATGTGTCTATGCGCCAGTGATTGTGTGTGTTTGTGGGTCTGTGATTGTTTGTGTATGTAAATCTGTGATTATGTGTGTATGTATGTCACTGTGTGTATAGGTCTGTGATTGTATGTGTATATTTGTAATTGTGTGTATAGGTCCGTGATTGTATGTGTGTGTATCTGTGTGTGTATGTGATCGTGTGTATAGGTCTGTGATTGTATGTGTATGTCTGTGTGTGTACATCTGTGGTTATGTGTGCGTATGTGACTGTGTATAGGTCTGTGATTGTATGTGTGTGTGTGGGTCTGTGATTGCGTGTGTATAGGTTTGTGATTGTGTGTGTGTGTATGTATGTGATTGTGTGTGTGTATATATGTGGTTATGTATGCATATGTATGTATTTAGTATATACCTCCCTATTTTGGAATCATTAAATATGGCAATACCATATAAGGATAACAAATAAGGGAGTTATCTACTAAACAAAATTAATAAAAGTTTTTTTTTTATGTTTTATTATATAAATTAATTATATGATATATTTTATATTTGGCCCAAGACAATTCCTCTGTGCTCAATGTGGCCCAGGGATGTCAAAAGGTTGGGCACCCATGGTTTACAGATTTTATTTTTCATTTACTGTCAATGTGAAACGTTTACAGCTATATCAAGAGTTTAACCAGTCTATACTATCCTTCACAACATAGATAAAATCATGTAAGCAAAACAAGTCATATAGAGAGAGTAGTGTTTAGCTGTAAAAAGTCAAAATGATTAAATGTCCAGCTAATAGGTACGAGATAGGATGCTGATGGCATAATAATACCGTTTTATAAATATAGCAACCAAATATAAAAATGATGTTTGTATTTCATTACAGTGCTGAAATGATAAATACATGGATTTAAAAAGTGTAAAAATAACCTGTATTAACCTGTATATTTCTCTGACATCACAGCTTCCTTCCTTCAATTAAAATTATTTCTATATATTATTTACCTATTGTACAGCTGTACAATAGGGAAATAAGATAAATAATTATAACAAAACATTGTTTGACATGCATGATTAGTAGGTGAAGAGGGTCCTGAGGGAAGTGGGGTAATCAGGGATCTGTACTGACCTGAAAGTATGGGAGGGGGTTTAGTAGGAGGGAGCACAGTAAAAGGGAGTCAGCAGAGGAAGGTTGTAGAGGATGAGGAGTTATAGAGGAAGCAGATAGACTACGTTTGTTTTTAAGAATTGTTTGAAGGACTATAACAAAAACAGAGAATATGAGAGTTCTGAGAATGGGCAAAAGCTTAGAGAAATCTCAAAAACTTGCCCTTCGATTAGTCCGACACTCGTTACATAGAGAACTTATACCATTTGCTTATCAGACTGATCCTGCACATAAGGGGTGTTTGGATAAGAAATGCTGGCACGTTCCCTCTACACAAGAGATACAGCAATCCCCCAGCATCCTCATATTCTTTGTTTTTTGAAGGGCTGCAAAGGTATGGAGAGTCCAATGTTGTGCGGGAGTGCATTCCATAAGGGTGCGGCAGCCCTGGAGAAGTCCTGCAGGTGAGAGTCTGGAGAAGAAGAGAATAGAGATTAAAAAAAAAGATTGACAATGGTGACTGATTTTGGAATTCATAACAGACAGGTGTTACACATCTTATGTAAACTCTGGCCATTATTAGTAGGACTTATGCTGACATTTAGGAATTTAGTAGGATTCCTAGAATGGAAAAATTGTTTTGGCAAGTTTAAATTTGGTACATATTCGTGCCTAGGTTGTGCCTCTTGCAATTTAGTTACCAAAGGTCCAAAGTTCACAAACCACATTACAGGAAAAACATATAATGTGTTAATGGTTTCTACACATGCGATTCTTCATAAACTATTAAATGACCCTGTGGAAGAATATATGTTGGAGAAACCAACTCAAACAAATTAGAGACAGGGTTTCTAAACACTGTTCTACTACATATAGTGATAGATTAGAGCATCTGATTCCACAACGTTTCTCTGATGCCAGCCCCCGTTAAAATTCCAAGCAATAGACCATGTAATGGAATTGAGAAGAGGAGGAGATAAACTTAGATTATTTAAAAAAAAGTGTTATTTTTGATCAAGGAGATAAAACGTTTTCAACCTATTGGTATGAATAGGGATTATGATCTTTCTCCCTTATAACTTTTTAATATGTTTTTATTTAGTTTTTGGCAGGTTCTGACTTGAACTGAAAACAAAGACCTGGTGACCTTCATCTGTCCTTGAAAACCGGTAATAGTATCAAATTGTGCTAGGAGTAGTATGTATCTACAAATTAGTACCAGGTACCTATACTTACTTTTGACAATGCTGTCAAGACATTTGTTTTTAATTGATTTTGTATAAGAATTATTTTTTCTTTAATGCACTTTCATGTGTTCAATGATGTGGCACTGTACCTTTACTGATTTTTTGTAGTCACTGTACTGTTAAGTATTTTTGTAGGTATATGCAGTCTTCACAATATAGGCACCAAAACAACTTTAGCCTAAATAGACACTATAGTCACCAGAACCACTACAGCTTAATGTAGTGGTTCTGGTGTCTATAGCATGTCTTTGCAGTCTTTTCAATGTAAACACTGCCTTTTAAGAAAAAAGTCCATGTTTACATCACTGCCTAGTAACACCTCTAATAGCAGTCACTCAGATGGCCACTAAATCTGCTTCCTAGTCCAGTGCTGTACAATGTGCAGCACAGGTGTTCAGCATTTCCATGCTCCAGCTGCTTTGGTTTGGTCTCCTCCAGTATGTATTTCCCTTCAAAAGCACATAGAGCAAAATTTTACCCTTACTGCAGTCTTCTGTTGGCTCTGCTTCTGAACTGCCTGCTTGGCTGACATCATCAGAAGTGGTGCTTCCCCATAGGATTTGCTGAGACTATCAAGGAGGGAGGGGCAGAGCCAGCACAAGCCAAACACAGCCCATGCCACTCAGCATCTCCTCATAACAATACATTGAATCAATGCATCTCTATGAGGAATATTCAGTGTCTCCATGTAGAGGGTGGAGACACTGAATGACAGTACTGCACACAGTGCAGCACTACCCCAGGAAGCACCACTAGCGGTCATCTGTGGAGTGGCCAGTGGAGGTTTCCCTATGCTGTAATGTAAACATCAGTGTTTATTGCAAAAAGCCTGAAGGGAATGATTATACTCACCAGAACAAATTCAGTAAGCTGTAGTTGTTCTGGTGACTATTGTGTCCTTTGAAATGTATCCGGTTAACCATTTTAGGAGATGCACAATGTATTCGTTCGTGTAAATATGCTACACTTATTAACTACTCTTACAGTATTTGTATATAGTAATTTGGCACTACGGCATTCATTTCCATAATGTATGAATTATAATAAATTCAATTCTGAATGGCATCATTTACGCTAAAACAGCCTAGCTGTGATTATAGCTCAGTTGGCATTGTTTTTTCTTTTCTTTCAAAATCAACAATTTTATCCTAAATGTTGCCATTCCATTGAGTAGAATCCACTCAATCTGGAGTATTGTGACAAACGTCTTCAAGTAGAATTGCAATTGCAAGGTGCTATAAAGTGCTATAACTATAATAACTATTTTACTTTTTTATTAAATATTATTTCTTATTTAAGATCAACTGAAACTTATATCACCACAAAGCAGTTTGTCATGCTGCACAGCACTTTACATAACACACAAGTAAAACCCAAAATAAACATGGAGTACAGCAAAACTACAAGGGTAACTCGCGTACACCACTAGAGAACTGGTTTACTTTTTTTTCCAAGTAAAAAAAAAAAAATTCAAATTTTTCATTATGTCCCATTTAATATTTGTTCGTGAACTCCAAATCTGTTGACAAAACATATTGTCAGTATAGAGACACCTGGACGAATCACCTAATAAAATACCGTGTGCAGGGTCTTGTGTATGATCTCTTGACAGAATCATGTGTTGGTGATACCACGGTGACAGATTTATCTAATGCAGATTGCAGCTATGTACCTCTACTCAGTGAGAGCCGGGAAATAAATAAATTATTTGGTGCCAGTTGCCAAGCAGGGATATCAGATTGCTGGGATGACATCACGCGCGGCTGGTTACAGAAATACTACTGAGCAAAGATTACAGATGTTCGGGATAAAAATAAACAGATCATTTTATAGCTTGTTGAACTTTACTGAACTTTTCATTACTGACTTTATTACCGATTTATCTATCAGCTGAAAAAAAAGTTGTGATACTTATTAGCTTACAGATCCTCACTTGTACCCTTCACGAAGATAATTGCTCATTGTCCTCTCAACCAGTCGTGGTCTAACAGAAAGCAATTTCCCCTCCTGCCTACATATGTCACATAACACGTTTTATTTTTAGCAGACTTGCCTCTGTTACTGGATTATTTGTAGATGTGACATAGCAAGGACATCTACATTTCACACTGGGAAAATTAATGTACCTTGCACACTGCATATCTGCACTAAGATAACTGCTGCCTTGCGGTACGCATCTGTCATAAATCCTCTAAATAAGAGGGGTTGTGGGAAATTCGAAATAACCTTTCTCGTCTTTATTTTTTTCTGTTTAGTTTAACCCCTTAAGGACACATGACATGTGTGGGATGTCATGATTCCCTTTTATTCCAGAAGTTTGGTCCTTAAGGGGTTAAAGGGACACTGTAGGCACCAAAACAACTTTGTTGTGTAGATCGTGTCCCTGCAGTCTTACTGCTCCATTCTCTGTCTTTTAGGAGTTAATATTTGTTTCTGTTTATGCAGCCCTAGTTACACCTCCCCTGGCTGTGACTGACACGGTCTGCATGACAACAAAATGTTTTCATTTTCAATCGGATGTTACTTATTTTAAAAGTTTTTATCTCCTGCTCTTTAATTTGATTTACATACTGGAGGCTCTTGCAGGGTCTAGCGAGCTATTAACAGAGTAAGAGATAATGCAAATTCTCTTTAATTTCGAATTTCTTAAGGGAAGTGTAAACATTAGATCTCACTTTACAGGAAGTGTTTAGGAAGGCTGTGTAAGTCACATGCAGGGAGGTGTGACTAAGGCTACATAAACAAAGTGATTTTACTCTTAAATGGTAATGAATTGAGCAGTGAGACTGCAGGGCCATGAGCTATGCACCAAAACTGTTTCATTAAGCTAAAGTTGTTTTCATGACTATAGCATCCCTTTAAGAAAAGCATTGTCTCCCTCAACAGGGTGTCTACTTCATTTTCTGCACGTGAGTTTAATGCCTAAACAGTCGTTGTATTGGCATTTTGCTGACAATTGGGAATGTGCTTTCAATGCTTTAAGCACGGCATTTGACAATTAGTATTTTTTTATTTCTACAATGTGTTACAATTTTTTTTGTGTATTTCTATACTAATACAGATTAGTTTTAGTATAGTTCTTCAATATGCAATGTATCTGACGAATGTATCTGAGATTAACACTGAACCTTTAACCAAATGAGATCGATTGAAAAGTATTTCTGGCTTACATGGGCACAACTGGTTTGTTTTAGTTTAACTTCAAAGTAGTTTTATAAGATCTAACAAACAACAGAAGTATCAAGAAAAAGTGAAGAAATAGTGTATAAAGCCAGTCATAGCTCAGCTCGGTGCCAGGCATGCTGATTGGAGAGGTGCCAGGAATTTCCTTTTCTCAACTGAGCGAATATAAGAAAAACTTACAGGTGACACTGTTGTGACTTTGAGTCTGTGAACGAGATGATTAACCATGTCTGATTAGTCCCGGTATCTACTGAGAGTACACATGAACTACTGCTACGTGATATATTAGTATGTATCTGTAAAGATGGAAAGAAAACAAATTATTAACAGTTATTAGCTTTACATAATTCATATCTAAGCTGTGAGTATCTGCATACACATGTGCTATACATTTACTTAAAGGGACTCTCCAGTGCCAGGAAAACAAACCCATAATCCTGCAGTGCCACCCTCCCTCCCACCCCCATATCCCATGTTACTGAAGGGGTTGAAGCCCCTTCAGTGACTTACCTGAATCCAACGCCGTTGTCCCTCAGCGCTGGGTCAGGCTCCACCCCCGCCCCTCCCCCGCCAACGTCAGTCGGCGGGGGAGACCTAATGCACAAGCGCGGCAATGGCTGCGCATGCACATTAAACCTCCCCATAGGAAAGCATTTTTCAATGCTCTCCTATGGGGATTCCGGTGACGCTGGAGGTCCTCATGCATAGTGTGAGAATGTCCAGCATCGTTTAAAACACTTTTCCGGTTTTAAGAACCCGGAAGTGCCTCTAGTCTGATAGACAGCCACTAGAGGAGGACTTAACCCCGCAAGGTAAGTATTGCAGTTTATAAAAACTGCAATAATTACACCTTCAGGGTTAAGGGTGATGGGAGTTGGCAACCAGACCACGTTAATGGGCAGAAGTGGTCTGGGTGCCTGGAGTGTCCCTTTAAAATGTAAATATTATACTTTAGAGGTTCTGGTTTCAGCTTATATTAGAGCTGCAGGAGCACTTATACAGTGTGTATCAGAAAAAGCTTCCCCTGCTCCTCCTGCAAGGCATTTCCTGTGTGAGAGGCTGTTAGTGGGCAGATGGGAAGTGAGCCCTTCTCCTTCCTGTCCAGCCTCACACACAGACACTGGAGGAGACGGAGGAGCATTGCTCATAAAAGCACATTATTTAGTGCTGTAAACAGCTGCCCCTAGGAGACAGGCGCCTACTCTAATGGGAAATCTGGCCCTGGTCCCCTTAATTGGTAGGGGCTGTGGTGGGGACATTAGGTGTCCTCCATTATAGTATGATAGGCCCCACCCACCGCCAATTGATGTCACTAGTTTAAATATTTAGTATACATGCAGCAGGTGGGGACAATACCTTTATTTATTTTTGCTCTTTTAGTGCGACAGCTAGCAGGCCCTCGACAAGTGCCACGCGGTTAACCCTCACACCACTGAGTTGTTTTTTTTTTAACTGATATTATTTAAAATGATTGTTTCCTTGTATCAAATCAAGTGAACGATAATTTGCGAACGTACATCCTGTCGGATGCGTTTGGTCCTGAATTTTGTTAAAATTGGTGCTTTGAGAATATTCAAAACTCTATACTTTGAATAGAGGTCAGATATGAGACCACTGATTTTAATCTGGACACCGAATGTATCCGGGTGACTACTGCAAATCCGGTTTGCAGTAGTCCGGACAAACTCCAGTGTCTAGAGAATAAAACTGTTCAAGAGAACCCCTATCATGAGGAACATGACTTGGTGTTACTTTTAAGAGTGCACAGTGTACACGCCGAGCTTATATCTACCTGAATGTGTGGAAATCCCAGTGCCTCTGATAATTGCACTGATGTATTTTCTATTAATAACCTCAATATACCTTTTTGCTTTCAATTTTAAAGGACCACTCTAGGCACCCAGACCACTTCAGTTTAATGAAGTGGTCTGGGTGCCAGGTCCAGCTAGGGTTAACCCATTCTTTTATAAACATAGCAGTTTCAGAGAAACTGCTATGTTTATAATTGGGTTAAGCCTTCCCCCAAAGTCTCTAGCGGCTGTCTCATTGACAGCCACTAGAGGCGCTTGCGTGCTTCTCACTGTGATTTTCACAGTGAGAGCACGCCAGCGTCCATAGGAAAGCATTGTGAATGCTTTCCTATGCGACTGGCTGAATGCGCGCGCAGCTCTTGCCGCGCGTGCGCATTCAGCCGACGGGGAGGAACGGAAGAGGATCGGAGGAGGAGAGCTCCCTGCCCAGCGCTGGAAAAGGGTAAGTTTTTACCCCTTTTCCCTTTCCAGAGCCGGGTGGGAGGGGGACCCTGAGGGTGGGGGCACCCTCAGGGCACTATAGTGCCAGGAAAACGAGTATGTTTTCCTGGCACTATAGTGGTCCTTTAACATTTTAATGATCATAAGTGATTCGTTTTCATATTTTATACTTGGAACATGTTTATGGGAAATAAAACTGTAATTTCTACTGTTATTTGAGAATTCAGGGTGAATTTAAGGTCAAAAAAGCAGAACGTAACATATATATTCCCCCCCCCCACATTAATTATGCTTTTAGTTTGGTTACTCCATCAAATCACTGTGAATTCTCTTTTTTTTCTCACATAAATAACTCTGTGTGTTTAGAATGGTACATACCATTTGTTTCAGTTGTGTATTAATTGTTCATTAAATCTTTTAGCTGAATGCATGTGAATACAAGTAATCAATAAAAATCAGCTCAAGATCAGTACATGCCAGAGATTACAATGAATGTGCGAACAGAGCTAGGGCATTTTTAAATAATATTAAAACAACACGACTGAGTTCAGAATCAGTGATAACTGTCAGATGTGGTTACACAAAATTTACCCAACGTCCAGCTGCCAGTTCGTGCCGTCTCTATTTTCTAAATCCAGATGTTGAGAGACTGACAAATGTTCATTAGAAATTCCAGATGTTCATATCTTTAGTGTAATAAAACTCTGGCAATCTACCAATACATATTTTTTCCTAGATATTTTATGCCATGTCAGTTAGAATTGCTCAAATGAAATCCAAAACTCGTCTTCCTTTAATAATACACAGAGTTTCTATTACGCTTATTACTATTACGCTAAAATGGGAATTGCTAGGAATTCTAAATAAATAACATGTTTCAGGCCTAATTAGCCAAAATGAAAACATAGGTGACGTGGAGACTTTTTCCAGTTTTGACTATTCTGGTCTAAATTGTGAAATTCACTTTAATGAACCCATTGTACAGCGTTACAGAATTTGCTGGCGGTATATAAATAATAATAATGAAATAACCCTGCTGTGGTTAACGGTGTTACCATCAGCTCGACCACACAGGCTCACTGCCTAGGTGTTCTCTTTGACACCGACCTCTCCTTCACGCCTCATGTTCAGTCTATCACCAAATCCTGCCACTTACATCTCAAAAACATTGTGCGCGTCCGACCCTACTTAACGCCAGATGCGTCTAAGGTGCTGGTCCATTCCACTCTCCTTTCTCGCCTTGACTACTTTAATCTGCTTATCGGTGGTCTTACGTGCTCCCAACTTGCACCGTTACAGTCCACAATGAATGCGGTGGCGAGGCTCATCTTCCTGTCCGCCTGCACTGCCCACGCCTCACCCATCTGTCAGTCCCTACATTGGCTTCCTGTAAGATATAGAGCTCAATTTAAAATTCTGGTTCTTGCTTTCCTAATACACAAGTATGTCCTGTCTAGGCCCTTACGATCTGCTGAAGACTTACGTCTATCTTCTGTCCGTACTCCCACCTCCGATGCTCGCCTTCAAGACTTCTCAAGGGCTGCACCGTTCCTGTGTAACTTAATTCCTCCGTTAGAAGCTCACTCAGTCTCCACTCCTTCAAAAAAAACATTAAAAACACACTTATTCATAAAAGCGTATCAATTAAACTGTTAATAGCTCCCAACTGATTCCTCTCTTGCAACTGTCAGTTTAATACTGTCCTTACCTTTTGTGTCATTTTACCCCACTCCCTCTAGCATGTAAGCTCATTGAGCAGGGCCCTCAACCCCTCTGTTCCTGTGTGTCCAACTTGTCTGGTTACAACTACATGTCTGTTAGTCCACCCACTGTAAAGCGTAAAGGTGTTGGCACTATATAAATAATAACATAATAACTTATTCAAAGAGAAACTCATATAACACATGGCTGTTTTTTGTGCCACCTATATTAAATTTGCTGTTTAAAGTTAAAATATGTGTCAACTGAAGAGTCATCCAGGCTGAAATAAAGGGTTTTGGAGGGTAAGACAGATGTGGGGCAGGACTGCAGCCACTATAACAACAGCAATATCACTAATAAGATGATGTCAAAGTGCCTACAGTGTTACATTAATGAAGCGTTTTTGGTGGAATGTATTCCTGGCCCTATAGTGAAAACCCATCATTTAGGTGGCTTGCCTCTTCCCCTTAGCGCCCTCAGAATGGTTTAAAACTCACTTTATTTTCACCTCTCCATGGGTCTGCCGGTGCTGACCCTGCCCCCTTGGTGACATCATCAAAATTGCCTATGGGGAAATCATTGGATTGGTAAAAATTGGCACAGGGCAGGGCCAAATGCCATTATGCCCAAAGAGCACCTTCTAATAGAGATGCATTGAATCAATGCATCTCTATGAGGAACATTCAGCATCCCTCAACGCAGAGCGTGGGGACGCTGAACGGCAAAATGGACCCCTGATGAAATTACTATGGCTTGCGGACTTGAGCAACCTTTAAGGTCTGGCTAGTAGGATAGGACTGCAGATTTTAGAGGGATTCTGTAGGCATCAAAACAACTTCAGTTAATTAAGCAGTTTTAAGATATAGATCATGACCCTGCATTCTCGCTGCTCAATTCTATCTTATTTATAAGTTAAATCACATTTGTTTCTGTCTATGCAGCCCTAGCCACACCTCCCCTGGCTGTGACTGACACAGCCTACATGAACAAAATGGTTTTATTTTCAATCAGCTCTTAACTTTTTTGTAGAAATGTTTATCTCCTGCTCTGTAAATTGAACATGTGCATTGCATGTACTTAGCTATGGTGTAATGAGAGTAATGAAGCTGAACGAACCGTGAAATCTATACATTAAGGACATGAAGCTGAGTTGTATTACATATATGCTGGACAGACTGGAGATTAGCTTGATTACATAAACTCAGCTAGAAGAGATAAGTGCTATTAAACCTTGTTGCACTTAA